GCTTTCACTATTAATTCTGTACGGTATGACATATGTAGCCTGGCTTATTTAGAACTGTCACAACCAAATTTATTTTTTACTGAGTGTTATTTTAGTTCTGTACTTAGTCTGATAAGTCTCACATTGCGTTACATGTACATGTATAATTTATGTACATGTGCATTGTATGTCTGCCATGTACATGTACATGTACTGTATTTCTTGAGGGAATTTATTTCTCTAAATCTACTAAAATTCCAATTTGCCCAGATTTAAATTTTGTGAATCCTACCACATGTCACGTGGCTAGTGGCTACCATATTAAATTGATTTTTGCTGATTTTATTGTCGTGAGTCAGGTAGAGATTCGCAATATCCACAAAGTTTGTAACCATCGCAAAAACACTTATACGGTATTTTTCCTTGTCCTGTTAAGTATTAATTTAAGCACCATTGAGAATAGGTTACGGAAATTTTTTGCACGAGGGGCCGTCGAGAGGAAAATGTATTACGAGGCGAAGCCGAGTGCTACATTTTTGTTGAGACCGTCCCGAGTGCAATAATTCCTGTAATCTACGAATCAACAGTGCTTTGATTGGTTTGTTGTGGTGCACGAGCGGATCAAATTTTATTGAAAAAGTCCCCGAAAGTGTCCAGGCCCAAGGCAATCAGATCTCATTTATCAATATTATTATTATTACATGTATAATGTATGTAGCTGTAGCTGTGGTTTGCCTCTATCAAAGCTTGTGGCTAAAAGAACAGCCCATACATATTATACTGTGCAGTACTACATATTCCAACTGTGCTACATTTTCATACCATTCACATTGTTGAAGTTGTAGCAATGGTGGTGCCTTTGATTCGCCCACGCATTATATTACAAAGAGATTCGTCAGTGTGATTTGTGGATTGAAATTAATTGTAAAATAAACCCTAGCAACTGCATGTACATGTATATATTTATAGCAATATTTTTAATTTTTATTATTTCAATTTTCTCTTTTAATATCTAGAAATTAAAATACTGTAAATGTAATTGTGAAATGTGTACGTGTAATTTAGCAATGCTCATTCAAAAATTAGTTAGTTGTAAGCTAAGCATTAATTATAAGAATATAATTATTTTACAGGTTACCTGACAAATATGATGCTGTTTATTATCCTCCTTCGTGTACATCAGTCCTCAGACCTGACAGGTAATTTGGTTCAGTTCTTTTTGCAATACATCAGCACCAACTCAACATTAAAAAACAATTATAACAATTACATTATTAATACATCAGACTTGTTATGCATACTGTATGCATGTACATGTACATGCTTACATTCTGTGTCCATTTTCTTGTAGATAGACTTTATTAACTCCTGAAAAGTTCAGGACTTTGTCACAGTTTAAGTGTTTAAGAGCAGTAGCTGAACCAGGAGAACCTGTTGGACTACTAGCAGCACAAGTAAAAAATGAATATACACAATGAGACAATAATTATACCATATGTTTTCTTTTATAGTCGATTGGTGAACCTTCCACTCAGATGACATTGAATACATTTCATTTTACCAGTAGAGAAGAAATGAACGTCACACTAGGGATACCATGTCTAAGGTACATGTAATTATTGCACATTGCACACACGAATACAACAGTGGATAAAATTATAAAAATTTGTGTGGCTGAAACCTTATTTTGCGAAATTTTTGTTTATTTTAAACTTTCACCCTTTTGTACCTTTCTTTTGATTCCTACTTTCTCTTTTCTCTTTCTCTAGAGAGATATTACTGTTATCAAAACTTTGGTTACAGTGGGATGTGTAGCATAACAATAACTGCAATAACTACATGGATAACAAGT